GTGAACCCCTTAACATTTTAATGTATCCCTTGTTAATGAAAATGTCATAGTTTAGGTCATCTAAACCCCCAAGGAAATTAGATTTCTTTGTAAAACAGGGACATATTTAGTTTTTTCAAAAACCAGTTCATTATTTCCATTTACCTTTAAAGTTACACTTCATATTCCCTTTACCTGACATGTCATGTGATTACCTATTAAAACCTTGCCACCAGTTACATTTTCAAATTCAGTGAACTACTCTTTGTTTGGATACATATGGTATGTGCAGTCTGAGTCAAGAATCCACTCTTGACAAGGTGGACTAACACGTAAACTTCATAATTTTGGCCTCATTATTATAGGCCAAGGCTGCACCACCATCTTCTTTGGATTTATTTTCAAATCTCCAAGTCTTTTAGGACAATTTTTAATAAAATGACCCTCTCCAAGGCAATAGAAACACTTTTTACCTTCGGTCTTCATTTTCATTTTATGCTTAAAATTTTCCTTTTTCTTGTGTCCAAGTTTCTTGTTACAGTTCAGTCTTGGGATTAGATTTAGACTTAGTGATCAAGTTCTCCCCATTGATAGATTCATTCCATTCAGATTTTAACTCTAACTCTTTATTTCTTAAGGCATTGGTTATAACATTTGTAGTTGGAGTTTCCCTACCATATTCAATGGCACTTTTAACATCTTTATACTTATCATCAATCGAATTTAACAATACCACAGCCAGCTAATCTTTTGAGAGTTTCTCATCACAGTTGGCTAGTTAACGGGATAGTCTATTAAATCTATCAATATTAGCCTTAAGATCAAGAGATGGGTTAAGTTTAAAACCAAAGAATTGTTTTAGAAAATACAGTTTATTAGGCATAGATTTATTCAAGTATGCATTTTCCAACTTTTTCCACAATTCAACAACAGTCTTAGTCTCACCACTTTCTCTAAGTACAATGTTAGACAAATGCAAAAAAATTGAACTCCATGCAGTTTCATCAAGTTCAGTTTTCTTTGTTTCTTCTAAATTACTTGGCCATGTCTCATAAATAGCCTTAGCACATTTTTGTTGTAATAAAATTGTCCTCATTTTCTAGCCCCAGAGACAGAAGTCTCATTTGCCATTAAAAACATCAAATTCAAATTTTGAAGTGGTCATCATAAAAAAATTGAATGCAGAAAATAGTGCATGCAGATCAGATAAACACTCCAGAGGTATATTCAATGTGCAGTACTTCAGTTATCTACACGCAAGAGATCAACTGAATATACAGTAACACTTATGGTAAATAATTTCAGTAGTTTCATGGAGTTTATACAGTTTTAGAGAGTTCTATATCATATAGATTGAGTACAAATAATCACAGTATGCACTATACAACAATAAATATCACAAGCACATGATTAAATGTAAGGTCTTTGACTTAGTCAAGACAACCCTCAGATTCCAAACACCCAAAGGGTTTCTGGACAAAGGAATTACCAAGAGAGTCTCAAATCCAAAGGTTTATAGTCATGTTTGCAAGGAACTTAAGGTATAAGCATATATTCTGTACAAGAAATCGTAAAACTGGAATGAATTCACCAAATCCAATAATTAGGGTTTCATGAAATAACAAATAGACCACTGAACAAGTGTTAGATATTTCAAATATGCAAGAATCGAAACTAAGAACCACCGCTTAACCGCTTTGATACCACTATTACAAAAGTTCAAGGTATTAGGCAAAATCGATCAAAATAAAAATGGCAGAAACCAAAACAAAACTGAAAAAATAGTAAAGAACGTGAGAAATTTTTGCCCTAAGGCAAGATGTTCAGAGCAAGCTCCTAATTTCCTTTTGTGCTTCCACCATTGGAAGAAATCAGTGCATTAACCAGAACCATAAACCATCCATATATTACAGATATGGGACTCAAGCCAGAAATCACTCAAGACTACAAAAAGCCCTCACAAAATAGCCTTGATAGTTCACTCAAGAACATAGACTTGAAATCGACCAGTATACAAATCACTTAAGACGAGTGATACACGATTTCAACTTGAAGATTCAGGATCTTCAAGATTTATATACAAATTATGAGGGAAGGGTTAATGACACTCAGATATCATTGAAGAAGATGAAGAGTATCTAGACGGTTAGAGAGAAAACTAATAGATGAATAATAGGAAAGGTCTCTAACCTTGGGAATCAAAAAATGTGTATATATGAGAAATCTATAGAAAATCACCATCAAACGTTAGTGAAGGTGACACTTGGCCTCATCAAGTTAATCCAACCCATTAAAGAAAACGTGTTTCAGCAAACACGCTTTTAGTTCAAAAACCATCCATTTACACAGCTAACCCGTTTCTATCATTTAATCAAAAAATCAATAAAAGTCAATAAGTCAACCTGTCCAATCAGCAGAGTCAGCTTTCTACATCATTGTGCCACATTTCCTCACACAAACCTATGGTGCTATGGGTACAAGGAAAAAATATTAAGCCTCATACAAGCAGACATTTTCAAGATCGGGCTTTAGATTTTTAAATCTATACTTTTAAAATTTTTTGATATAAAATTAACAATTATAGTAATACCACAATCTATTTTATAACTTTTTTTAATAGGCACTCTAACCAATTCATTCAACAATTTTTTTCCACGATTAGCAACTTAGAAAATGATTCATACCCATCAATATCATAATCCCCATCGTTTTCAAAAATTCTTCAAACCATTATCATCTGTAGTACACAATTTTTCTTTTTTTAAATTAAACAGAAATTCAAAAGCATTTTCATAGTTTTAAAATTGTTTAAATCTTAATTTAAGTGAAGAAAGAGCTTGATCTGCTATACAAAAGAAATAATTAACTCTAAAAGAATTTATTTGAATGTGTTATCACATCATTAACATTTCATCACAGTACTTTTTTTTTAATGAAAAATACGATTTTCATGAATTGCATGTTCAACTTCCATTTTAGAAGAATTTCTTTAGAAGTAAACTCGTCAAATTCAAATCTAGTGTCTATATATATTTTAGAAAATAAAATAAGGCTTCCAAGTAACTAATAATAGCAGCATCAATCACTTTGCAATATTTTATTTACTCTATTAATAATAGAAAACCAATTGTACCAAATAATAATCTCAAATAAGAATTAAAAATTCGTAATGTCAAAAGATAAACTTTTTGTATTTCTAAATGTCTTAGAGTGATCATACGTTTCCACAAAGATTTTTAAAGCAACTTTTATTATGTCCCTTGAAATCTTATTATTTTAACACTTAAAACTTACCATTTTCAATTTTTTTTGTGATATAGATTCAAGCGTCAGACCTTTTCACATTAAAAAAAGAATAGATTTAGTCTTTATACAATAATTTTTCATATTACAAGATGCAAGATTATTACTATGACAAGCACAGTAAAAATGCCATCGAATTTACTCATAGTACTCTTTTTTTGTAAACATTTATACTTCCCTTTCATATTATAACCATTATCATAATTTTGACCTTTTAAATCATCAATATCAAGTTTAAGTATTTTCAAAACATCTAATTTTTCACCAAATAGTCCTTGTCCTGGAGTATCTCCACCTTAAGGAATCCCTGAAGAACTCTTATACTTTAATTGGACTTGCTAAAACATCTACATATCATATTAGTTGAAGAATAATGAAACCTGGTTAGAGATTTTCACTTAGATATAAAAAAATTTCTTTCAAAAGCAAAATAATAAAAATGGGAGTCTATTAAGAAGACTATTCATTAAAAAATGTATAGAATAATAATATAACAAAGGTGGGGGCTCACACTAAGGTGGGGCCTTAGACGATAACCTACCCCGTCTATAATTAAGACCATTTTTCATTCTGTGTTTGTAAAAAACAAAAAAAAAAAAACAAAACAAACAAACAAACAAATTACAATACAGGTGCTACCATCGCATCACCTATACACGGAGTCATCAACAAATTGTGGCTAGCTTAGCACTAGGCATGAGCATTTTAACCAGAACAGAATCTTTCGAATCGAAATCGATTCCTGTCTGGTTCCCAAAAAAATAAATTGAGAACTGGAACTGAGAATTGAGAACTGGCTGGGTTTAGTTCGATTCTTAGTTCTTGAGCCAGAACCAGAACCGTGAGGATTCGAATGGAACCGATTTTTTAAAAAAAAAATTATTTATAATTTATTGGCTGGAAAAACATATAAGACCTAAAAATCCTAAATTTGGTAGTAATTAGTCTAAAACTTGAAACTTTAACCCTAAAAAAAATTAAAAAATATAAAAAACTGGTTTTTACTTTTTTACATCTCACCTTACATCAGATTGTTGCATCTCAGAGGTTATTATATGTAAATGTTTACAATTTGAGCTTTTTATAAATCAAAAATCTCAAGCAGATGATAATATAAGTTGATGAATCAAAACGTTCAATCTTTTGCAATTTAAGCTTTTTACTTTCTTGTATTATTAATAAACTTAAGTGATTTTTCACATTTTTTAATAATGCACACTACAACAAAGTTTATTTTTTACGGCGTGCATTATATGCCGTAAATAATACTTTACGACGTACAGCAACATGCCGTATAAAGCAATACCGTAAAAAGTGGTCCTTTTTTTACGGCGTGGATAGTGCGCCGTAAACGGACCGTCGTTATTAATGTTACGGCGTTCAATCACACGCTGTAAAAAGCATCACACTTTTTATGATGAGTAGTTGTACGCCGTATAGAGCGTTATATTCATGGCATCAGAGCATGCCTAAACGCGCCGTAAATGAGCATTCACCTTTTATGGCATGTAGTTGTACGCCATATAAAGTGTTAAATTCAAAGCATCACGACATGTCTAAATACGTCATAAATGACCATTCACCTTTTATGGCGTGCAGTTGTACGCTGTATAAAGTGTTATATTCATGACATATTGGCATGCCTATACACACTGTAAAAGAGCATTCAATTTTTTTAAAAATCATTTATTTATTTTAATACCAGCAAACCTGTAATATTATCAAAAAAAGTACTCCATATATAATCAAGTTTTCCATTGTTTTGATAAAAAGAAATATTGAGTACGGTTCAATACAATATGCCAATGTAAAATCATCTAAACAATTCTCAAAAAAATTTGACTACTATTGTATGCGCCAATCGCCATTCAACTAATAAGCCCGTAGATATTGAGGTTCCGTCATATAACAAAAAATTATTAAACCTATCAAAATTCACTTCTTTGACCAACAATTTAGCTACCCCACAAAATATGGATCCCCTGCACACCACGGAAATAATAAGGATATAATTAATAAGCATCCAAATCAAAAGTATATCAAGAAATATATTAAACAATCCAATCTTCAATTGAGACCGAACATAAAGGTGAATGGAATTGAAATAGAAAAGAAGTTAAGCATACCTTTGTTGTGATTATAGTGAATCCACTTCAATGTACCTTTGTTCTAGAAAAAAAAGGCACAACCAGGAATTTTCTAAATAAATTTTGAAGCACGAGATGGCATCCATATTATTTATATTCTAATACATAACTCCAGAAAATCTTTATGACATGCCAATAATTTGAATCACCACCAATTTTCAAAAGGCATAGCCAGGAAAAAAATGCTAATCGTTATTGACACTCTACCAAACTCTAGAATACTTTATAACTTCAAGAAATGAAAATTTATTAACTACTAGTTGACACTATTCAAAAAGAATTGTTCTCCTCCTAACTTTGACAAGCAGCAACTTGAATCAAAACAAGTTCCAAAGATTGAAGAAAGGGAGAATAAAGCAATTGTCTTATATATTGGAAGAATTCCACATGGATTTTATGAGAATGAAATGGAAGGTTTCTTTAAGCAATTTGGCACAATCAAGAGACTCAGAATAGGAAGGAATAGGAAGACAGGGAAATCGAGGCATTTTGGATTCATTGAATTTGAATCTCCTAAGGTTGGAAAAGTTATTTCAGAATTCATGCATAACTACTTATTGTTTGAGCATCTGTTGCAAGTTCTGCTTGTTCCTCCTAAGCATGTTCATCCAAAACTATGGAAAGGTATGACGCACCGGTACAAACCCTTGGATTGGGTTAAAATTGAAAGGAGTCATCATGATAAGCAGGGACGGATTTGGGGGGGCAGGGCAGGGCTGTAGTCCCCCTAGGCCCAACAATTTTTTTTTAAAGGTATTTTTTATTTTTTTGGATAAAAAATCAGTTTTTTATATGTAAATTTTTTTCCCACGTAGCAGCCCAGTTTGAAATTTCATAGTCCGGTCTTAGATCCAATCATGGATCCGTCCCTGATGATAAGGTAAGGACTTTGGAAGAGTATAAGAAGTTGGTAGAAAGAATTATGAAAACAGATCAGAGAAGGCGAAAGAGGATTGAGGCCTCTGGTATTGATTATGATTGTCCAGAAATTATTGGAAACTAGCCCACCTCAAAGAAGATTAGGTTTGACGCAAAGTATGCTTTGCATTGGAAACCAGAAGTATGCCCTTTTGAAATTGAATGTGCGTTTGTCTGCTACTAGTTTTCAGTGCAGTACCTCGAGCGCATGTTTAGTAAGTTCTAAATTGGAGTGGAAGTATAATGTACGAGATTTGAACTTCTTTTTCCTCGATACTTCCAGTATACTTGCCAACCTTGCCACAAGTGTAGAGCAGCCAAGATTAGACAAGCAGGTGGCTCTTTTAGTAAATGGAAGCTTATATATATATATATATATATATATATGTGTGTGTGTGTGTGTGTGTGTGTGTGTGTGTGTGTGTGTAAACTATGACTAATAGCAGCCAAGCACCTTTTCGAAATGAAATTATAGTAAAAGTAACAATAACTTTTACCACTTAAACTGGTAATAGGACTAAATCTAGTTTGCTATAGCCATATAACAAATAATTGATGGATCATGTTATTAGATCAAGAACAGAGCACATGTTATAGCAAAACATCATATGACAATATAATTCCATCTCAAATATCAATCATTGCAAAAAACCCAAAAAAATTCTCGCAAATAGCAACATGTTAAATGTAGATGTCTCATGGTAGTGAGAACGTTAAAGGGCAAACAAAGAATGAAATTTTAATAATTTCCAGTAAACAGTGAATAACAAAGAATTAATTGTCCATCCTTCACCTCAAGAACCCTATAAACTTATCGTCCCTCTTACAGTGCAGATTCTGCCGGTGTAATAATCAAACTCATCAGTCAAAAGGTGAAAAATCAATAAAAGACTACAATTGTAAAGAGGAAAATCAATAAAAGACTACAATTGCAACTCCAATAAAATTTTCTAAAAATAGCAAACAATTAAGCTTACCTTGAAATAATAGAGAATAAAGTTCCCAGAAATTACGCCTCTCTCAAACAATTGAGGGCCGGTGTCTGCGTTGCTTGATATTGAGGGGGAGCGGGGGAGAGATTGACAGGGGCGACTGACGAGGGTTATATGAGAGATTTATAGGGAACGAGTTCTCTGCGTGATGTCTTCCCTAATTTCATAAGGATTGGGCTATGGGGTTTTAATTTTATTTTGCTTTCGGCTCGATTATTACGACATGCGTGGGCTACATTTTGGGCTTTGTCTATAATGGCGTACACAACGCACACCGTAAAATGCTGTAATTATTGATTATTTATGGCGTGCCCTATTTATATGCCGTAAAATGTCATAATTATTTTCTATTTACGGCGTGCCCTAAATGTATGCCGTAAATACTTTAAGCTATTAAATAATTACAGCACGCATTTTTCGAACGCCGTAAAAGGAGACTTTTCACAGCGCGCAGTTTATGCACGCCGTAAATAAATGTTGTAAAAACCCACTTTAACTGCACGCCGTAAATAAATGTTTTAAAAACCCACTTTTGTTGTAGTGGCATAGCAATTGAATTTGATATATTCATTGCTCGCGCCATATTGTACCTTTTTGTTATCTTAAGTTGGTGGTTCTCTTTTTGAATTTTTATTTTTATTTTTTATTCAAACAGAGCTAGTTCAATATGTGGACTGTAATTTTTTGATACTATATTAGTTATATATTTAATTAGTATTTTTTATATCAGTTTGTTTTACAAATAGAAGAATTCAAGCATTATTCATAATTAATTATATGCATAGTATGCATCCCCTAGAGATCGAATATGATTTATTAAGAAAAGTAACTTTTTCTCAAATCATAATTTTATTTTTGAAATTTTTTAAATTTTCTCCTATTTTTGTGACTTTTAGTATCTATATTTTGCTTTTTGAAGATTTTTAACTGAATTTTTTTCATTGCACATGTATTTTGAAGTAGCAGCGTATTAGGTATATATACCAAAATGGTCTATGTGAAATATTTATTAAATAAATGTATATAAAAACATTATGGATAGAACCGAAACCGACAGTTCGGGTTTGGGTTTGGTTCTAGCAGCTACAAATACCCGAACGATTTCACTTGCGAAATAGCTGAAGAATAATAGGTGGTTTTGGATATTGAAATACCCAGTCCGACTCACTCGATGCCCAGGCCTACTTAGCACAACATGAATCATCAGCTTGACATGCGACATGCCCCCGTTGCCAATTGGCAAATTGATTACACTATTTGCATTAATTGGAAGTCGGATCATAGCGTTTGTAATTTCATTTTCATATAAAATATAAATAATTAATTCACTCTTATATAAAGTTTGATTTTCTTTTTTTAAAAAAAAAATGTTTGTTTTGGCAGAATTCAGATATTGAATGTCCTTTCTTAGTGGACCTTAAATTTGCCTAAAATTAGGTAAGTCATAATTTAAATATTATAAATTATCATATTGATTTAAATAGCTTAATTATCACATTAATTACTAAATAAAAAGTGGCTAGTAATAGGAAATGCTTTAAATTCATGTACTCAGATTTGAATCTCGAAATTTAACTTTTGATTTCAAACCTTCAAGTCTTTTATGATATTCTTCAAAATCAAGACTAAACAGGTGTGTGATCATCTTCTTTCAAATAAATCAAAAACCCAATTCAAAATTGAACGGATTAAGAAAAATCAAGAAAATAATTTTTTATTTTTCTCTCCAAGAGAACGTTTCTGGCCGTCTTTGTGAGTATAAAATTTAGCCACTTAGGAATCGCTTATTTAGGCAAAGAATTTGAGTCCAAATCCAAATCTTAATAGGTAAATTGATTTATTGACAAAACAACTTTTATTTCTTCCACCACATTTTAATTGTACTTAAAATTTTAAATTTAATCTTTGTTCATTTATAGCATTTATGTCCTAACGATTTTTTGTCATTCTTATCATTAAACTTTTCATTAGTTACACATTTTGTAATTGATAATAATTTCATGTCCAAAAATCCAACGACCTAGCATAAAACCACTTATTTTCCTATCATATATATATTTTTTAAAAGTAAAAATAAAAAGTACGAAAAAATATATTTTCCTTATTTCGAATTATGAAAACAAAATATTTTGATATAAAGCATCAACAAGAATGAGACGTATTAATTAATAGAAGATTAAATATAATAATTCTATGGAACAAATTTAAGAAAATAATTGTTACAATGAGCAAAAATTGAGGAGCTTAACTTTGATTAAAATGTGGTGCCAATATAACCATATTTGATTTAATTGTACATGTAATTCTTAAACTTTAATTGCCAATAAGTCCATAACTTTTAAAGTAACTACAATTAAGTTCAAAGTTTTACTGAGTTATTATAGGTACACGTTCGGACATACATCATCCGAGTTCCAATAATTAGATTATGTCTAGTCGATCATAAATCATCTAATCAAAATTTTGAGTTTTTCTTTCTAGTTGAGATATGGGGAGTAGAAGATGGAGAGGGAGCCCAGCATCGTTTAGGAAGTCTAGATTTGCACTAAGAGCTTCTCTAAAAAATAAAGAATGGGAATGCTCCCCAGCAATTTGAAAAAGGCGACCAAGAGAGAGAGAGAATGGAGCTCCTAAGGCTAGCAAATCGCGTAATACTTTTTCATGAATTTTCGCTCTTTGAATATTGAACACCATAACTAATAAAAATGAAATGGCTATAGCTCCTATATAAACTCTTGGGAAGATCATAGTGAAAAAGTCAAGACCTAACAAAATAAGTGACACTAAAGTGTTGAAAAACATTGGGATGGAAAAGAATACTTTTCTTTTTCTTTTTTTCCTTATTGAGATTGGGTTGGTGTTCATTTTACCAAACAATGGGTACAAGATTGAAAAGAATGTAAAGCTTTCCATGCCCTATCTCTCCAATAGGAACGAAAGGGAGTCTTGCCAAATATTCATTTTTTTTGCCTTAAGTGGATGTGGATGGCAATGCTGCTCATTTAGCTTAGCAAATTTTTCTGTGTTCAATCACATGTTATGCTTCGAGCAGGACCATTCATTTTGTTGCTTTCTTTGCAACAACTAAGAGAAAGACCTTTCCTTCAAACGAGAATGTCATGCCTAAATTGACATAAAGACAAAGTAAGCCTAATGGTTGTTACGAAGCTTAGTAGCTAAAGAGTACTTGCGTGGGTGAGTTGCTTATTTGCATGGAACATGAAATTTTATCCTCTTGGTTTCCACATTAGGCAAATTAGTCTCTAAACATTTTGAATGTTGCATTATTGTCCTTGGTCGTTCAGTTCGGTGCATATATGTTCTTGAAGTTTCTTTTGTTTAAATTTGGTTCCTAGGTTTTCTTAAAAGTTCAAATATGCCCCTAGCCTTTTGTAATGTTGGAAAACTTCCCATGTACTTTGTGGGAGTTTCGAAGTGGACCCTGAAGCCCATTTAATAATAAAATGGACGAGCTTTGTAGTTAAGGTTAGCCCATTAAAAGACATAGCCTACTAGATCTTTGCCCGTGTTTAAATCCACATTAAAAATGGAAATGTCTTGTCCAATATGCCCAATTTTACTATCAACAACTATCACTGGCCATTTTAGCGATGCCCTATTTTGTTCCTTCAACCAAATCCAATCTAATTTCACACATTTGAGCCCTCCATTTAGGGCTAGAGATAGTCCCTCCAAACTGGAGCCCAATGCTTGAATTAATAGCCAACATTGGCCCAAAGAATCAAGGGTTATATGGTTCAACTTGGGTTGAACAGGTGATGAAAAAAATATATTAGGGTGAACAAGTTAGTTTTTACTATGAACTTGCTTATTCTCGCATAAATTGGGTGATTCTTAACGTGTTTTAAACTGTTTTTATTTTTTCAAATTTTTTACTTGTTTGTTTTCGAATCGATAAAACTTGTAGGTTTTGTGAAGTTATTGGTTTAGTTTTCTTTGTATCAAGAAGAGGAAGGGGAAGGGGTTTTAGCTTCCTTTCCCATTTTACAGTGATAAAAAGTGAAGCTATGGATCGAAAAACTCCAACTTAATACATTGGCCTTGAGTCTGTGAAATGGAAGTATATGGTGTTGGATGCTATGGAATGGAAAGTGGAATCATAGAATTGTTTTCAAGAGAAATAAGTTAAGTTTTGAAGTATCTTGTTTCTTTTTTTTTTTGGTCTACTATGGGTAAATGGTTTTGTAACAGGGTTGTAATTTCAGTATAGAATGTCTCAGTTTTTTGTTTTCAGGCTTGAAGAGGGATTAACAGTATTTGTTTTGTTGTTATAAAGTCCTTTCGATTCTTCGTTGACTTTGATCAATTTTTCTCAATAGGGAATTTTGATGAACTGCATTTTCTGATTGCAGTTTTAAAACTGCCTCTGTTGTTGAAATCTGGTCAATTGAGCTATTTGATTTTTTTGATGTGGGATTTTTTATCTTTAAGAATGAGTAGGTTGCTCTTTGTCAAAAGAGACGAGTGAAGGGAAAAATTCTCGCTGGGGAGTATGAAACATAGCCATAGGAGTAGCTATTTGTGGAGAGAGAAATGAACTATTATCCTAATCCCATTTTTTTATGTAGCTGGGTGCAATCATGATCATCTCAACCAATAGGAATAATAGGTTCATCACTTGTTGGAGGTGGAGTATGTTTGGCATAATTGTCATATTTTCTAGAAGGTTTCCCTAACAAATCAACTCCTACAAATTTCTTTTCATAGGCATCATACAACTTTTGCTGACTACTCTTCTCCTTTTTCTTTTTATTTCTAAGGGGATGGCTTTCAAATAAATTTCTTCATCATCCATACATTTGAAATAGAATCATACATTCTAATAAACATGTCCTGAATCATCAAATCTGCAATAAATAGGCCTGCCATTTGCTTTGAATCCATGGATAGAGATTTCTCCATTGGAAAAAGCAAATTATATTGAGAAACAAGGATTCTCTTTTGAACATAATTTCCACTTCACCATTTGTCTTTCTTTTGAAATGGTGAGTTGATGATTGGATGGGCATAGAGTCTTTTGACACCAGGTGATGTTGCTCATAGCTAGTAATCCATGTTTGTGGGATTAACTTAATGAGGTTAGATTTGGGAATTTGTCTGGGAATATATGTACAGCTTGGCTGGTCTGTTCCCATCTTGATAAGTAGGGCTTATCTGTACCATGA